ACATTTAGGAGGATCTATTGGCAGAAATAATATAATATTCATAGGTATGTTTTTATTAGTGTATAATAAAAATAAGAATCCTTGTGTTTTTGCTACCTTAGAATGAGCTGTTTTATCTACAGAGGGAGCGGGTCCTCTTCTACAGAGTCCGCCATGTTGAACTGGCATGTTTCTACAGTAGCCCAGAAGGGACAAACCAATACTGGCTGTAGATAGGCGCTTTTGCGTTTTTGGCGAGTTTGGTGGCCACCGTAGTTTCTTCTACACACTTGGAAGGTGAGTGGTATTCAGTTGATATCAATCTGTATCTTTACCACCAGATGCCACTAAATCCTACACACTGGTCCTTTAACAGTAGTAAAATATTTTCCTTCTCTTTCCATCGTTGTTGCTGCTGTTTGTTAAAATAGTAGGTGACCGGGGGAAGATATATGAGAATGAAAACAAGTAACAAGTAAAGTTAAAGTAAAGTAAAGAAATGCATGAACAGATCAAGGATCCTAGAGCAAGCATCCTCGCAGTGTTTTTTGAAGTGGGTACATGTTTGTCTGCATTGTGTTTGTGCACAAGGATGTTGGAATTGCGATGCAAATTCCTGCTGAATGATTCACAACATTTCACTGATGGACAGCTGGTGGCAGTAATGTGCCAAGAAATGTAGCAATATGCCAGCAGAGGCAGCGAGGGAGATTGGAAGCTAGCAAACCAGTTCCAAAATATTTTAAAAATGGCCTTTGCAAATATTTGAAAAGGAGGGAAATGCATTTAACATATGTGTTGTTTTGGGGAGAATTTTCTCTGTGCTCTTCTAACTGGTGGGGGCGTGGCTCAGTTTGAAGCAGTAGTGCCAGGTATTTTTGTGCTCCAGAATTTTTTTAGGGTTAAACTCTTGATAAACATTACTTAAACAAGCGAGGTTTCAGGGGCTTCAAAGACTGTCTAGGTGTGTCAATGTGTTCGCATGTCCACGTGTATGACCATGTGTGTGTGTTTTTGAGCGCTGTTCCTCCTGTCTTTAAGACCAGCCAGGTGTCACTCAGCACGGTCATTCATTACCGTGGTAACCTGGCCTGAACCTGGCAGGCGCTTACTTCCTGTCACTGATACTTCCCCTGACCTTCAGTCTGTGCCAGCGCTACTCCATCGCTCTCTCTCTCTCTCTCTCTCTCTCTCTCTAACACACACACACACACACTTATTTGATATGCACACTTTCTGGTCCTTGTGGCTTTGCCTGTTTCCTGTAAAAACACTAACACACTCTTTTCGGGACAGCTTTAAATTTAATAAGGCCTTCATTGCAAGACACTTACTCCTCCTCTAAAAAGTTACATACTGGATGTCAGGGAGTAACTAACACCTTTACAGTCTTCTTACTACTACAAAACCAAGAAAAATTCTGATGTGACACAACTTATGAGGTGTCCCAGTGGAGCAGAGGCAAACAGTCTCCAAACATCCCCTCAGCAGCACTGCACTTTGGCCAAGTGTTCAGTAAATTCCCTTTTAGACGTGACCCCCTTTACTTTAATCTTATGGCAACTTAACATGTTGCTCTTGTGTCCGAATCAGTGCTCGAGCAGCAAGCGACTTATATGTCCATGAGGAGAGGCACACGATAGTCTACACCCTCCTGGCTAATGGCGAAGTCAGGGATTGCGGTACACATTAAAAGCTGGCCATTAACACTAGGAATCATCTTGCAGGGCACAAACACGGTCATGTGCATTCGAGTCCATGCACATACATACACATTTACACTTGTGCACCCGTCCGCAGAGACTCCTGCGCAGGGACACACGCTGCAGAGGGATCAGCTTCCTCGCTGCAACATGAGGTGGCATCTTTAATGGCTGCTGACATGGTGTGATTTCCTTCTCTCAGATTCCTCTCACAGGATTCTTTCCAGGCTGCAGGTCAAGTGAAAGCACTTCAGGAGCCAACCTGCACGTGTATGCAGACGGTTATATGCACTGCCTTTCTTTGAAAAAGTACTTTTGGCTTTAAAAGTACATTGTGGAGCTGAAAGAGGAGGCAGAGGCTTCAAACATATTCTTATTGCTATTCTGCCTGCTTTGTGCGGTACCGCCAGCCCCCACAGTGAGCCCACTGCTTAGTGCATCTTTACATAGCCAGTTGCTGCTGCCAATAGCGCCTCATCTTCTATGAAGATGATGCATATAACTTTACGTGTTTAATGCTTTATTCTTATAATGACTGTTTGCTTGTTTTAAAAAACAGATCAGAAAAAAATCTTCCACCTTGGGATCAGTAAAGTCTTATTTCATCTGAAATGTGACAATAGATTGAAACAGAAATGACATAATAGACTTTCTGATTTACAGTTCTGAGTGCCTTGGCTGAGGCAACCGCATGCTCCACACCATGTCATCCACAATTAAGTCAGTGAGATAAAGGACAGATGACTGTGGAAGCTTTCAGATTTGGCCTTACCAGCCACCTGTCTCCATGGCAACCAAGCCCTGAGTAGCAAGGTCTGCGATGGGACGGCAGGAAACACAAACCCTGTATGGTTAGTAAACCAGATTTTTCAGGGTTACTAATGGTTACATCATCGGTGTGAGTCAGAAATCAGTTCGCTCAGGTGTCGTGTGCACCCAGATATTCAGCCATCTGTCACTATGGCTCTCAGAGGTACTGCGATCTGCCGCTTAGTTTAGTGGCCGTGCCACATTGGAGTGCTGTCAGAACACAAGGAGAACGGTGGTAGTTTCACACAGAGGGCCATGCATTAAAGGGTAAAGCTGGTGTTGTTCAACAAATCCCATGAAAAAATCAATACCAACAGTCAGCCTCTCGATACTTTACAACTTTGCTGTCTGTGGCCCAAATCTATTTATTCCTACTGAGGACACAAATCTTTAAAAATGATGTTTTGTTGACTATTTTTAGCCACAGATTAATTTGCATTTTGGGTGAGAGTGAGTCAAAATAAACTACTGTGTGTTTATGGTAATGAAAGAACATGTGACCCAGTGCAACAGTTAGTGTGTACACTAGTATCCTGGTTAAGAGCAGGTTTTTGGAGTATCCTGGTCATGTTCTGTCCATGCAAACAGCTTATCCTGCTTTCAGAAATCTGAATATGCTACCTGGAGGACTCCTAAACTGTGGCATGTAAACACCATATCCAGCTTTCTAACCTTTTTTTTTAACTCTGATTATACAATGGTGAAACAGAAACTGCTGAATGTGAGAAATGAAAGAGATAAAATGTCCCAATATGCATCGTCGAACCAAGACAGCCTGTCAAATACTATTGTCTACCTCTATCTGACACCATAAAAAAAGCATCGCTCCCTCCTGCCACTTCCTTCACCTCAATTTAAAGAAGTCATTGTTTGGAAAATGTTAATTCAGTTTGTGCTGCATCATTAAAAAAGCCAGAGAAGGTACAACTATCAACCATTGTCATATATGTAGGTGAGTACTGGCTTCCTCTGCGATGTTATGCTCACATTGATGTGTCTACACTGACACATATGCAAGTGATAGTGGGGGGGCAGTTGCATAACGTGGTTGATCCTCTTCTTGCCAAAACTCTCGAACTTCTACCTGTGCACATATGTCCTCTTCACACTTATGTCACTCCTGTTTATTTATGCTCATGTGTACAGAGCTGTACATCTAATGAGTTTCACTGTTGTTTTCATTTGTGGTTTTTGAAGGTTTTAGAAAACAACATCAGATGGTACCTACTGTTGCTGTTATGGTGCTCAAAGTCTGGCAATACACCAAGGTAAACAGACTGGTTTCCCCTGAAATATTCACTGTGCTTCTTAATTACACGTTTAGTGTGGTGGTGGTTATTTGCTGTGCTGGTACACAGCTCACACTGACCAGTTCTGCCAGGGAAAAAAGTAGTGTGCAAGCTATTAATAGGATGCCTGCAACGACTGTGTGCTGAATTCATTTAAAGAGCTATTAATTTTTGTTGTGCACAGGTTGAATGTTCAGCTATAGGCTTGTGCATCCAAATCACAATATAGGAGTGTTAAGAATCTGGTAATTCCCTCCATGGCTGCCATATTGCTAAAAAGACACACTAGAGCAACACATTTCACTGACTTTCACTGGGGACACTTCCACTATTGAACTACACTGCAGCAGACCAGCACTGTGACAACTTTGTGAGGACCTTGTTTGTCACTTCTGAATAAACGTCCCTGAGCCTTTATACCAGTATCTCCATCAGGACAAGATAAAAGGTTGCTAAGCAACTGGAACCTAGCAGCATGTTTCTTTTCTCCAATTAAAAGACGAAACCTGCCCCAAGAGGGAGCAGAAATTCACTGATGAATCTACTAATTGCTCATGTCCACAAAGACCAAATAATCTTTTTCACCATGCTGTTATTGTGACAACTATGTCTCAGTCAGACAATACTGGGGCAGGATTTTTGTGTCTGATACATGTAACTATTAATCAGGATTTACATTTCAAAATAACCATTATATCTGATGCTATATTGTATATTTTATTTAATACATTACATGTTTTTGTGTTAAATTAGTTACAGATATATACATGCCTCTTTTCCTTTATGTCTCTTTATGACTTTGTTCAATTGTCCCTTTTTTCACTCTTTTGAACCTCTTTATCTGTAACTTCTTGTCAAACAAAATTATTAAAGCTTCAGTAATTAACTTTTCTAAAAACAGCTTTTGGTCATATTTGCTTACTGTATGACCATGTAAAAAAGGAGTGCCATCTGTGGAAACCTAGTGCCCCCTTGCTAAAAATTGTCTGGCACCAGCACTGATGATGTAGCTAAATATCGAACCAATACCTTGGTACGTGACATTTTAGTGGTTGGAAGGATATCTTGTGGAAAAATGCAAACCACAGTGGGGTTTTCTTTCCTTTTTGAAAACTTTTCCTAAGTAGTATCCACCACATTCAAAGCACACAGGAAGCAGATTAAGGAATTTTAATCTGTCAGTCATATGTAATGTTAGTCTCTACATCCATTTCCTTACCACTCCGATAGAGAAGTAGTTGTTGACGATGCTGTAGGGCACAGGGTCTCCCTTCTCCTCCTTGTCATCGGGGACAATGTCTATGTTCCAGCGGTCCAGCACCACCTCTGTGCTGTGCTCGATGTCCCGGAGGAACTTCAGCAAGCTGCCACCCTCGTAACCTGCCAAGAAAAGGTTAAAATACAGGAAAATGCACAGATAAAAACAACAGAAAGGATATTTAATGTGCCCAAAATTACACCCCTGTCCAATTTTGCCTACTTGGTTTGCTCCAGTTAGTTTAAATTCAGTCAGAGACATGTGAAAGACAATTTTTAGGTTATGGTTACACAGTTTGAGGGAGCTCTCAAAGAATCCCAGCTGTGATGAGGATTCTGCTGGAAGAGTTAATCCTCCTTAATAAACATACATGAAATCAACAATATTTGTTATACACATTTGCGATACAATAGAATACCAACTTAAGTGATTAATTTCTTAAACTAAATTGAATCTATGCAAATGTGAGCTTATGTGAGCGCAACCTGGCAGAGGTTTTGATCGGTAGCTCCTGAAATTATCCTCTTGCCCAATCCGTATTTAAACGCCTACATTAAACTGGTGAAATGGTGGATTATATGGGTTCAAACATGAAACACAATGGCGCTGATTAGGCTGCCATTTCATAGAGACCGCCACCCCCACCACCTCCGAACCTACACGGCCCAGGCCTGACAGCACCCCAGGGAGCCCTCTGGTTTTGCTCTGCAGCTGACAGCCCGCTTCAGCAGCCAGGCATCTTAATAGCCTTCAGAGGCGGAAGTATGTTCCAAGGATGTCATGAGGGCGTAAGGCATTAATGAGTACCACCACACTGGGAGCATCATGTGTGAAATATGAGCATGTTTGCATATACATACTGGTACGCTTAAGAAATAATAGCAATTTTTAGAGAGAACAATTTCCTTTCCATATAAAAAAAAACAATTGTCCCTTTCCTACTGGAGCCCTCACCACATTTAATCTGAATGTGTACACGCATTCACACACACATACGCCTTGCATCATACGCACTGTGTATCACACACTGAAGAGCCCTTTAATAGTTTCCTACAAATAACGACATAAAACATCAATAGAAGCTTTTATCACAGCCATAAACTCAAACATAAGAAACTCCTTTGTAACCAGTCTAACAAGACTTAAGTGAAGTTTACAGAACACTTCTCTGAGGCACAGGTATGTGGTCCTTGGACCGTAGACCCTCTGCCTCGTCGTCTCTGAATGCTCGTTCCCATCTACAACTCTGTTTGACTGCATATAAGCAAATGCATCAATATTTTGAGCATGAGGCATGCTGCTGTGCGTCCCTGTGTGTGTAAAAAGCCGTGTGTACACGTGTTGTGAACCTGCCTGTAGGTGCATCTTACTAATGCGCCCTTTAAATAGCAGGACAATACTGCAACTTTAGCTTTTTGTTGGTCAATGGCACAATCACTTAGCAATAGCACTGCACCTGACCCCACCTCATTCTAACACCAACACACCCATGGGCGCACAGATGGGCGTAGCTAAGTACATTTGCTACTTACACAACGTAAGTTGGGCGAGAAAATGACAACCACGTTGGTCAGAAACTAGCGACGCCACTTGCGCTGTGCAATAGGGCATACAGCCCAGCAGCTAGCAGCTCTGTAAGGCTGTACTTATGTACTAAAGCTGATGTGGTCATGCTAATATAGTCACAATAAAAATGCTATGTTGATGTTAAGCAGCTATGTTTAGATGTTTAGCATGATAACCATCTTTACCATCTTTTTTAGCATGTTCAAATGCTGACATTAGCTAATTAGCACTAAAACACGAAGTTCAGCAAAGGCTGATAGGAATTGTCATTAGTTCTTAGGGTGACCACGTGTCCCAAAAAGTTCAGGAGAGTCCCAAATTAGGAGCATTTGTCCCAAATCCCAAATCCTGTCCTCTTAACTGTTAGTGATAGATATTATGAAGAAGCTAAAAAGAAAGCTGTCTGTATGATGTGAGACTCGACTTGAAGGTAAAAATGTTGAGAAGACCTGACTTGGTGACACAGTAATATTGACAAATGCTGCACTGAACCGACTGTGTATTTTGCAGCACTGACAAATTGTCATGAATAATTAATAACATAATATATGCGTGACAAGCTGCTGTAATCAGAATAAATTTTAAATGAGACAAACCTTTCATTAAATTATCAATTAGTTTAGAACAAGTAAATTAGTATTTGTTTCAGATCCATTATGTAGGCTATAATTTCTGTTTTTAATTGCTAAAAATAACCTTTTCGTTTTTGTAAAATATGTAAGAGTATTATTGATGCGTTTTCACTTGTTTATTGCACTGATTAGGCAATCATAAATAAAGGATTATTGCTGTTATTAAACCTGTTTTAAACTAGTGTGGATGAATTTGTGATGAAAATTCCTATAGTTTAATGGCAATATTAACTGCTGAAAAGACTTTAAAAATGACTAACATCCCTGTAAAACACCTGTGTGTATAGTTCAAGTGTCCTCTCAACACACAGATACTATGCTTCATTCATCACTCAGAATATGTGACCACGTGATCACACCCACCCCCAATTCCTCCTCTGGGCACCTTGGATATCTGTATCAAATTACATGACAATACAGCTTATATTTCAGTCTGAACCAAACAACTGTCTGACTAATATTGTATAAAGCCACTGCATCGCTAAAAACTGACTACTCCACATACGGATCCTCGCTCACTCTGTTTGCCAAGGTAAATATTCATCAGGCTAAATGTCTACAGAGACTCCAGCTCTTACTAATGTTTATTTCTAGGAAAGATGATCTATTCAACTAAAGTCCCAAAGCCCCCCAGACTTGGCAGCTTATTGACAAAATATCATTCATAAGCCTGGGTAAGTGCTCTGCTGGTCCTCCAAGCAGCAACAATCAAGCAGTCATAACCAGCCATTCTAATTACTGGCCCAAAGTACTGCAACAAATCAACGGCTGGCAGAGGATTTACAGCACAAGTGCTTTGCATATTAACAGTTTTTAATTTGACACATAAGGGCTCCCACTCTCGTCTTCCCAACTTTCATTTCCACAAAACATGCATAAACATGCCTGCCTTTTGTGTTCTAGTGTGCAACTGAGACCCTCCCTGAAACTACAGCCATTCTTTAAGCACTAAAATGAACTCTAGCAGAGTGTTTAGACTGCTGTCAAGTCAATCAACTAACCAAATTGAACCGGTCCTGTCTTTAATGAACCAAGCTAAACTCTACAGATTATCTGATATCTTTTCCCTTAAGTAGTTGACGGACAGCTTAAAATTTTCTTTTTCATTCTCATGATCTCATGTGGATTTGTCATTTTCTCATTACAAAAGGACAAAACAAAAATTTTAACCCTTTAACATCAATATTTCCTCTTTTATTCCACCTCTTCTAGATGTCCATTTAAGATATATGTTTACCCTGTGTGAAATATTCAACCCAAAATGTATTTTTAATGACTGCATCGTTCCATCATGTGGAAGAATTCTACATGTCTTGTGCATCATTTTATACACATTCCCCACATACACGTTTGGTATCCTTGTAAACTGCAAATCGGTCAGGCGAGCAGCAAGTACTGTGGCCTCCATTCCTGATTTAAATATAAGTTACTGTCTTGTTCCTCTTCTAGTTGGTTTGCAATTGAAGAGTTAAATCACATCCGTTCTGAACTGATTGAAGGGAATTGTATTGTGGGGCATTAAACAACACTGCATGAAAACATTTAAATGACTGGGCTTTGTTGGTCTGGTTTAGTTATACTTTTTAATTTTAATGTCCAGTGTGTAACAT